ATATGACCCTACAGCAGGAAGACATGTGGGGGGAAAGAAAATGATCGAGAGAAACACAATGTGGCTTTTCATAGTGTCGGGCAATTTCAACCTCCTTAGGAAGTGCAGCCTCTAAGGACCCTTAGATTTCACTTGCTGGGTGTGTGTTTATGTGTAAATCAAGGCCTCCTAGAGTTAGACTGCACTGCCTTTAGAGGTATAGGATTCGAATGTCCCGATGACTCGGTGCTTCTCGGAATGTTTGTTTAATTTTTTTCGTTCACCCAAAATTATGGACACTACAAAAAAACACTACAGTTCCAACGAAAAATTCGAACGGTAAAAATTTTCGTTGGAAATTCCAATGAATATTCCAACAAACTTAATTTTATGTTGGAATAAGTGTTGGATAGTTGAGGAATTCCAACGGATTTTTTCCGTTGGAATAGTTGTAGGAATTTATTTCCATAGGATTTTCCGTTGGATATTTGCTATTCCAATGGCCGTTTTTCCAACGGATTTTTATACGTAAGAATATCCGTTGGAATAGCTATTCCAACGGAAATATAAAAAATTACAATGGAAAATTTCTATTAAAATGTAAGAGTTTTTTTTTTTTTTTTTGTAGTGGGATGTGACGAGCCAAAGCGGGGTGGAGGATATGTTCATGTTTTTCGTTGACCCAAGATTGTGTATAGCAGTCGAACTGAGTTTGAGCTTTTATACTTGAATTCAAAAGTGGATTTTTTTTCATTGAAACGAGCCGAGAAACCAGCTCGAACTCGGTCCGTTTACCAATACAAGTCGATCTTAAACATTAACAAGTCAAGCAACCACATAAAAATTCATTCTTTCGAGCCCAGTGAAACGTATGATTTGTTAACTAAACAAGTTTAAGCTCGACTTACTTCATGAAGTTCATGAGCGACTCATTTCGTTTAACAACTTTACCTAGTATTTTTTTTGTTCTTTCTTTGCATTAATATCTATTTTACACGATAGATCAATTTTGGCCACTGTGATATTTTTTTTTTTTTACTTTTTTTACTTTTTTAAGGAACCAATGTTTTTTAACATGGATCATTGCACATTGGGTCGACCTGGGACTCGGTTGATATGGAGCCGGGACCGTTCCAAGTGGGTCCATTAGATTAGATAAAAGAGAACCCGGTCGACCTGGTATTGGCATGAGTACCATTATCTCTTTCTCTCTCTCTCCTTTTTTGGTTGTATATACGCAATAATATTTAGAAATTATGGAGTTGTATAGTCGGTCAGGTGATCGAGAAATTATGGAGTTGTATAGTCGGTCAGGTGATCGACGGGCTGGTCTCTGAGTTAGTGGTTCACTGTTAAGTTATCGGGTCAATTATTGAACCGAATAATTAAATTTAATTTCTTTATATTGATATTAATAATATCTTATTAACTATATATGAATATTACAAAAAAAAATAATAATTTATGTGTAAAATTTATATCTTAAAGTCTTATCTCGTCATAAGTATTTACAATATATATACATAATTTATTTTTTAAAAATAAAATAGTTTAAGAAAACCAATAAAGAAAAAAAGAAAAAAATGATGTAAATAGAAGACAACAATTGAGATGATCAAGCTAGCTTTGATTCGGTTTATTAGGATTCAAATTAATAAAGCTGGTAACTGAAAAAGTAACTAACTAACTAATTAACTATCATTTGAGGTTGCCACCACAAGCAAAGGAAGCCTTTTATGAATTGTAATTCCTTTGGCCTCACTCATGTCCAAATCCTCCTCTTTTTCTCCATTTGCCAGTGCAAAGTTGAAATGGTGCACCAACTTGGCTAGCCCTAGCTTGTTAACTGCCACCGCGAACGAAGTCCCGGGACATCCCCTCCGACCCGCGCCAAACGGGATGTACTCAAAATGTTGTCCTCTGAAGTCGACCCCCGAGTCCAAGAACCTCTCGGGACGAAATTCTTCGGGATCTTCCCACGATGTCGGGTCCCTAGCGATGGCCCACACGTTGATCAAGACTTGCGTGCCTGAGGATATGTCGTAGCCCATCACTTTTGTGTCCCGAGTCGATTCGCGAGGGATGAGTAACGGGCCGGGTGGGTGTAGCCTTAGGGACTCCTTTAACGCGGCTTTTAGTTACAACATTTTCTCTAGGTCATCCTCGTCTATCTCTTTTTTACCTCCGGCGACCCGTCTCACTTCGTTCTGCAAGGTTTTCATAGTTCTTGGATTCTTTATGAGCTCCGCCATTGCCCACTCGAGAGCTATGACCGTGGTGTCGGTTCCTGCGGCAAACATGTCCTGTTACAAAGATTGATAGTGTTAGAAATTACGGTCGTGCAAAACTAAGAAATAAAGTTGCTAGCTTGCTCGATAAACCTCATACGGCATGTTTGACCAAGCGATGCAAAACGGTGAGTTTCACCTTACCCCATGTACATGTAACCGTCAAATCAGCATATACCCACATGAGTGAGTGTGTGACCTGATGGTTAAAATCCCTGTGCGTGGTGACCACATACGGAGTAGGATTAATTTGTCGAAGAAAATTTCAATTTTAGTCTGGTATGTTTGAGTGTCTAACTTTTTCGTCCACTTCGAATTGATGTTTTGATTTTCGTCTCTTATATTTGCAAAAATGTTATAAAACGGTCTCGAGCAATTCAAAGGGGACGAAATTGCAACCTTCTGTCAAATTCGAAGGGCACCTTTTTGTTGTGAAAAAGACTTTTCACAACCAACATAAGGACGAAGTTCAAAACTACAACTCGAGGGGACAAAAAAGTTAGCTAGGGTAGTAAACACACACGACTAAAACTACAATTTTTTTCCAATTTGTCGTGCAAAACCACGAGGCTTCGTACTCGAGAATCATAAAAACATTTGAAAACATTCTTACCAAGATGAGAGCCTTGATTGTATCATTATCAACTGGTGAGCTACTAACTCTTACGTCCTCTCTCTGAAACTCGAGCAATATATCGACAAAATCCGACCCGCCATTTTCATGTTTTCTCGCGAGACGATCTTTATGTTCCAAGAACTCGTCACACTGTTTTGAAACTCTCTCCACTTTTTCGTCCACACCGTTAACACGATTAATCCAACCCAACCATGGTGCATAATCCCCCCAGCTCGTGCCACCGAATAGCTCGTTGAACTCTTGCAGAAGTTTCTTGAACTTTCTATCTTGACCGTCTTCATGGACACCGTATTTTCTACCCAAGGCCACCCTGCAAATGACATCGTTCGTGAGCGAGACGAGTAGATCGGTCAAGTTGATAACGGAAGGTCCCGATCGCCTGATTTTGTCGACCATAGATGAAGTTTCTTGTTCTCTCACGGGACGAAAAGATCGAACTCTTTCGTTTCTCAAGAGTTGGCTCACACATATGCTTCTCACCTAAAACAATTGGTCTAAGTTAGGAAAAAATCAGTTTTGGTCTAAACTCATTTTTTCGTACACTAACTTTCCTGTCATAAAAAATAGTACGTTATGTCACATTTGTATCATTTTTGGGACATTAATCCAAAAAACAGTACGCTACTTTTTTGGAGTTAAAATCTGAAAATGATAAAAATTGCAATAATAAAAATTTACCAAAAAAAAACTTTAGACGAGTAAATTAACCAAAATTGAAATTTTGCCGTCTAAATTATTCCATATAATTTTTCGAAAAATAAGTTTTCAACCGCATGATCCACATTTGGCAAGTAGTAGTCGAGTTTTCATACTTGTCTCCCATATTCGCCGTAAGCAGTAGAGGCCACGCCACGCGAACCGTACATGAGCTTATTGGGCAAGCTTAACTTGGGCCGATTTGAGAATATTGTGTCCTGGTTTTTCATTACTTCACGTGCGTCATCTGCCGACGAGACAAGAAGCACCGGCACACGACCGAGATGAAGCAACAATAACTCGTGACCCCAACTTGTCGAAAAAGACTGTAGCGAACGGTGAGGGAAATTCCCCAGCTGGTGGAGGTTTCCGATCACCGGAAGTCCTGTCGGAGATGGCAGGCGGTTAATTTTCCGGGCCGGAGAATTTCTCGAGCACCAATTGTGAAGGTATATTACGGTGAAGGTGAAGAGAAATAGAACGAGGATCAACTTATGAAGAGTGAACATTTTTTTTTTTTTT